ATGTTTGTAGTGCTTTTTATTTCGTTTGTAGTTCAACAGATACCGAAATAAAGACATTTGAAAAAAATACTTTTTTCTTAAAATCCGTGTGCTAACAAACTGATATTTTATTATGATAAGAAATGGTCTGTAGATGTTTGTAGTGCTTTTTACTTCGTATGCAGTTCAACAGATACCGAAATAAGACATTAAGAAAAAAATAATAATTTTTTCTTAAGACCCGGGGGCTAACAAATTGATTTTTTATTATGATTAGAAATGGTTTGTAGATGTTTGTACTGCTTTTTATTTCGTTTGTAGTTCAACAGATACCGAAATAAAGACATTTGAAAATAAGACTTTTTTCTTAAAATCCGGGTGCTAACAAATTGATATTTTATTATGATCAGAAATGGTTTGTATATGTTTGTAGTGCTTTTTATTTCGTTTGTAGTTCAGCAGATACCGAAATAAAGACATTTAAAAAAACACTACTTTTTTCTTAAAATCCGGGTGCTAACAAATTGATATTTTATTACGATTAGAAATGGTTTGTAGGTGTTTGTAGACATTTGAAAAAAATAATACTTAAGACATTTGAAAAAAAGTACTTTTTTCTTAAAATCCGGGTGCTAACAAATTGATATTTTATTACGATTAGAAATGGTTTGTAGGTGTTTGTAGACATTTGAAAAAAATAATACTTAAGACATTTGAAAAAAAGTACTTTTTTCTTAAAATCCGGGTGCTAACAAATTGATATTTTATTACGATTAGAAATGGTTTGTAGATGTTTATAGACATTTGAAAAAAAAATTATACTTAAGACATTTGAAAATAAAAATACTTTTTTCTTAAAATCCGGGTGCTAAAAAATTGATATTTTATTATGATAAGAAACAGTTTGTAGATGTTTGTAGTGCTTTTTATTTCGTTTGTAGTTCAGCAGATACCGAAATAAAACATTTGAAAAAAAAATACTTTTTTCTTAAAATTCGGGTGCTAACAAATTGATATTTTATTATGATAAGAAACAGTTTGTAGATGTTTGTAGTGCTTTTTATTTCGTTTGTAGTTCAACAGATACCGAAATAAAGACATTTGAAAAAAAAAATACTTTTTTCTTAAAATCCGGGTGCTAACAAATTGATATTTTATTATGATCAGAAATGGTTTGTAGATGTTTGTAGTGCTTTTTATTTCGTTTGTAGTTCAGCAGATACCGAAATAAAACATTTGAAAAAAAAATACTTTTTCTTAAAATCCGGGTGCTAACAAATTGATGTTTTATTATGATAAGAAATAGTTTGTAGATGTTTGTAGTGCTTTTTATTTCGTTTGTAGTTCAACAGATACCGAAATAAAG